AAAAAAAAAAAAAAAAAGAGAGAAAGGACCATGTTTTCTTAGTTTTGTTTTGCTGACAGTTAAAAGATTCATGCTTGAAGCATTATTTGTTGAGAGTGCATATTTTCTAGATGGAAAAATGGGGATTTTGCATTCTGATAAAGTTGATGTGTATAAGGTTTTTCAGAATGATCTTCGTAAGGTTCTTGAGTTTTGTTCGACTATTTTTGTCTAGATCATTTGACCAATATTTATGAATTCATTTAAGAAATCGAAGAAACTGTTGTACTCATTTGGCTGGTTGCAAATTATAGCCAAAAAGTGAATAAAGTTCACAATTGTCTTCCTCGTAATCATACATTCAGCTTAGTTGGTAAATGCGACATTGTTTTTAGGGCCGGTGATTTGTTCCTATTATTTCTATTTTTCGTTATTTTTGTATTTTCCAGCAGAAGAAATGAAAGCATTATGGACAGGCATAACTCAAATAATAATTATTCTGACTTCTGTAGTCGATTTTTGAACTTGGTCGAACAGGGATGCTTATGGGTTTGCAGTAAGACCTCAACACTTGCAAAGATACCGGGAATATGCAAATATATACAAGGTTCTCATATTGCACTTAATGTATACCAACTGCTGCTTCTTTCTGTTCTATGAGAATTGCTATAATTTTTTCATAATGCCCCTTTAGGAAGAAGAAGAGGAGAGATCTGACAGGTGGAAGCACTTTCTAGATAGACAATGTGAATCTGCTCAATTGGCTGTGAATAGGTTAAGTGACGACAATAATGTTGTAAAGTCAAATGTTGAATCATCTATTGAAGATAGTTTGAGTGAAGATTGTAAAGAGGTGCAATCCATAACAGAATCCAAAGTTCATCAAATTCAGATATGGACTGAAATCAGACCGTCTTTATGGGCCATAGAGGATATGATGAATTCTCGTGTGAAGAAAAGAGTTACTATGTCAAGGAACGAAGCCCGTCCTGAGCCCAGCATAAGAAAGCAACTTTCTTCTATTGAAGAGGCCCGGCCTGGAAAAGGGGCGTCTGAAGAAGATTCCGAGGAAGAATTCTTTGATTTGGAGAGATCAGAATCGGACCCCGTTCAAGAGATCCTCACAACCGATGGTATTATTCCTACTCTGTACACTCATTTAGAATCTACACCTCCATGGAAGCAAGAACTGGAATGTCTTGTTCAAGGCGGGGTACCAATGGCACTGAGGGGAGAGGTTAATAGCATGTTGTTATGCAATCTTTTGCTGTTTTACTATGTAATGATGTTGTATTTACTACTTTGGCTTCGTATTACAGCTGTGGCAAGCCTTTGTTGGTGTTAGAGCACGCAGAGAGGAAAATTACTATCAAAATTTGCTTGCTCCGTATACAGAAAAGAAAAATGCAGAATTGGAGGAGAATAATTGCGAATCAAATGTGGAATCTGTTGGTGTTCCTGAAAAATGGAAAACCCAGATTGAAAAGGTTGTTGTTTTACGTGCTCAGTTGTTATTTAATCATCAAGAAAGAACTATGAATTTACATGAATTTATAATTCTTTAGTATCAGTCGTGTGTTGTGTGTAAACAATGTGGTGCTTCCATGCATGTGTGTTTGTGTGTGCGCGCGCCTATGTTCGCAGAACATGTAAATGTATGTATGGAATTGTAAATATAAGTACTAAGATGGGATTTAAATGATAGGTTATGCAATGGATTTCAAATTCACAAAAGTTGAAATAACATTGAGGAGACATTTGAAATCCATTAAATTGAATTTTTAGCCTAACATGCTTGGATGTCCCAATGGATTCCAAATCATTCCCTCTATATCCCTCCCAAAATCCTCAAGCTGAATGTAGCCACGGTGCTTACAACTTTATTGTACTTCTATATATCACTGCTATTAGATATTTAACCTTTTCACTTTTGGTAACACAGGATTTACCTCGAACTTTTCCTGGTCATCCTGCTCTAGATGAGGATGGTAGAAATGCTTTAAGACGGATACTTACTGCCTATGCTCGGCATAATCCGTCTGTCGGGTATTGCCAGGTACTTCTATGTACATGATAATACAATTATGCTGTTTTGGATACTCTGTGGAGATATGTCTGTTCATCTCGTTGTCTGTTGATTTTTTTATTTTTCAGCATGAGTTGTTGTTTTCTCAAAAAATAGTATGTTGATGATTGTGGATGCTCGGATAAGCATTCTTTATCAATTTCTTTTTTTTTGTTTCACATTTGTTTGTGTTAGATATAAATCTTTGATAAGTTCCGGGATCATTCATGCAGGCAATGAACTTCTTTGCAGGGTTGTTATTGCTACTGATGCCAGAGGAAAATGCATTTTGGTTGGTTATTTCTTTTGTTCAATAGTAGCCTTTTGTCTCTTCTTTTTTGTTTTTAGTCTTTTTCTAAATTAGTGGTTCTGTGAATCCAGTCATAAGTTTCTGAGTAAGGTGTTGTCAATGGCAAGAATGGTAAAAAGAAAACGATGGAATTGTTTGCTTGTTTGGTCACTTGGTGGGTCCTTGAAGTCATTAGACTTTTAACAGAATCTAACGAATTTGTTGACTTACAGGACTCTAGTGGGTATTCTAGATGACTATTTTGATGGCTATTATTCAGAAGAAATGTTAGAGTCTCAGGTAAACTTGGATTTCATTTGTGAGCTGTTATTTTACATCTGCCCCCTTTTTACATACAAAGACGTGGGATACTGTTTTTGAGCGCCACATGGCTCTCCAATTTATTGTATATGTTTCTGAAATAGAGGAAGGTGTTCAAAAGGGTGGTACTCAACTGAAATTTGCATTGTGCAACTCTGTCTTGGCAGGTTGATCAGCTTGTTCTTGAGGAGTTGGTGCGGGAAAGATTTCCGAAATTGGGTTAGTTTCTTATGATGTACTTCTGTTATAAACCCTTTCCCGAAGAGATGTCTTATTATTAGGTTTTTATTTCTACTCCTTACTTAGCTTGTTTGTGTCGCAGTAAATCATCTTGATTATCTAGGAGTGCAGGTGGCATGGGTGACTGGGCCATGGTTTCTCACAATATTTATGAATATGCTTCCATGGGAAAGTGGTCAGTTTTCTTACGTCAAGTGTAGTAATACTGGTACATTTGTTGGAATATCATTGAGATTTTAACATGTACCATCGTAAGTGTAACTTATCTTCACTTGTTCTCCTCATTTATGCACTTTTGTAAACCTATGGTTCGTCCTTCACAATAGAGCTATAATTACAAATAATATTCTTATGGCTCATTTAACACAAACCACGATGAGTATTTTTTATGCCTTAAGCTGATAAATTAAGCTTCGGAGGATAATTAGATTTTGTTTTTGTATTTATGCTATTGTAATTTGTCTTTTTGTTGGTAACCCCATAAACTCAATAAGCTTAATATGGCCTTTTCAGTTCTTAGAGTCTGGGATGTGCTTCTTTTTGAAGGGAATCGTGTAATGTTATTTCAGACGGCACTTGCTTTGATGGAGTTATACGGTACTTGCTTCAGCCATATGCTTTTTGTGATGAATCTTTCAATCAAAATTCAAAATACTTCTCGCACCATAAGAGGCTTATCTTAGATCTGCTTTTGTGTAGGACCTGCATTGGTTACGACCAAGGATGCTGGTGATGCAGTCACGCTGCTTCAGTCCTTAGCTGGCTCGACTTTCGATAGCAGCCAACTTGTATTGACAGCGTGTATGGCTTTCCCGAATGTTCAAGAAGCACGACTTCAAGAATTAAGAGATAAACACCGGCCAGCTGTCAGGGCTTCATTGAAGGAAAGAGAAAAGGGAGTAAGAGTGGGGAAGAAGGATTCACAGGGCCTGGCTTGTAAATTGTATACATTCAAGAAGGACCCAGGTTCAGTAATGATGGAGACCGATAAATCGGGACAAATGGGTATGCTGTCGAATGATGATGTGTCGGGTTTGGAACCTTCGTCTGTTAATGGCGATCAGCTATGTATGAGCTTGAATGGTAATGTGGAGTTCGATTCTCCTAGAGATCTTGAAGAGCAGGTATTGTGTTTGCTGCATGAGTTTCAACCCTAAATATGCACCGAGACAATTCATCACCACGCATGTACATTTTTCCACAAGCAATTCTTTATGTACATTATTGACTATACTTTTCTTTTTGAATTTCATTGATGGAACACTAAATGCATAGAAACACCTTAAGCGAACACATCTGCGGTCTAGAAATAACTGATATGTACTTATGAGAACTATTACAAAAGCATTTTATGGTCTGCAGTTTTCTAATCTTAAATTTGGCGTATTGCACATGTGTGCTCGCACTATCTCTATCAAAAGGACTGAGTTGAGAATATGCCATGTTCTGTTTTACAAGTAAAAATAGCTTCAAAAGGTTCTTAAATTTACAATATTTAGAACTTGAATTGCGATCCAGTCTAAGTTGCTTGATATCTTTAATTGCTTGTTTGTTAACCCAAGCAAAGCTATATCTGCTTACAACCAACTTTATTAGCCATTGTTTGTCTTCAGGTAGTTTGGCTTAAGGTCGAGTTGTGCAAGCTCCTGGAGGAGAAAAGATCTGCTGAGCTTAGGTGAACACATTTGTGGTTTGATTGTGTTAAAATCACTAGCTGAATTTACAATTTTCAGTGGATGAAAGTATTTGTAACTTTCTGTTAGGATATTAAATGTTCCCTTCTACGTTGAATGTTCAAATTGGTTTCAAGTTATCTTGAATATATTTGTGTTGTCAAGCAAAACAACAGATTCTATAAATATGCTTTCCTAAAGAGAGAAAATCTTAACTTCTTATGTTTGCGGTGTTTGATTTTTCGTCATAGTAATTCTTAAATGTTTCACGTCCTTTGCATCTCAAGTGTAGAACTGGATTTAAGAACCAACTCTTACCCAATTATTTTTTCCAAGTTATAAATAAACTCTAGTTGATGTCAACTCCCCAAATCCCCTTTTGCCTCATTTTTTCTCATACTTGAATTTTGTAACATCCTATTCGATGTTGATTGATGTGGTCTGTTAAGTAACATAAAATTTAACAAGATTAATATGTGAAACATAGTTTTACTACAAAAATCTTTTTGGAGTTAAAATTCCAATTTAGCTGTAGTGGTTTCTGTCAATAATGTTCTCACACGGTCCATAGTTTGAAAGTATTTTCCTTTCACGATGTAGTGTTCTGATCTGTATATTGTGCATAAAACTGATGCATAGGTACTGTCTTGTGTTTCTCTTTATAGGGCAGAAGAGCTTGAAACAGCATTAATGGAGATGGTTAAACAAGATAATCGACGCCAATTGCATGCAAGGGTATCATAAAACTTTAGTTGCTTGGCTGTTTTGATTAAAACTTTCTTAGTATTGTGGTTTTCTTTTCATTGCAAACTTTTTCTTTCATTAAAGAGAAGTGTTTGGGAAAAAAAATTGGGTTTAAAAAAAAAAAGAATTTGGGTAGTGTGATTGGATGTAAGAATTTGGGTTTAAAGTTGATGTAATGTAAATATAATAAATAGCATGTGTTGGTTAGAAATATGTGAGTGGATGAAAAATATATTTTACAGGGAAATGTGTAGTAATATTTGAGTTTTATTTTAAGAATTATATTGATGAATTTGAGGGAGAAAGTAATGAGTGGTGATAGTGTATTTTTGTTAAAAAAAATCAAAATCATTAGTAAAATAAATATGAAAAATGTTTGATATACTATTTTGGCAATCTAAGCAATCTGTTTTTGTGGGCTTAGGTCGAGCAATTGGAGCAACAGGTTAGTGAGCTTAAGCAAGCTCTTGCGGATAAGCAGGAGCAAGAGAGTGCCATGCTTCAGGTCAAGCCCATGCTATTGCTTTCTATTACATTGTCTCATATAGATGTCTTTAAGTCTTTGTTGTTAGTGCGAAAATAAAAATACAACACCATCAATGGGCTATTTGTAAAATAGAAACATGCGACCGAGAGGATGCTTGCATTTTCAAAAAATAACTGCATCTCTTTTTGTTGTATTTGAACCAGACTACAAATGTTGCGTGGTTTACAATTAATTAAAATGTTATTTTTGTTACTAATTATTTTTTTTTTTCTTTTCTGGTGGTTGTTATTGAAACAGATTTTAATGAGGGTAGAACAAGAACAGAAAGTGACTGAAGATGCTCGCATATTTGCCGAGCAAGATGCTGCTGCCCAGAGATGTGCTGCTCAAGTGCTTCAGGTCTCTCTCTCTCTCTCTCTCTCTCTCTCTCTCTCAATATTTTTAAAGAGACCTGTTCTTAACTAAGAAAGGAAAAATTCAGCACGAAAGGAGACATTAGTTTCGGAATTATGATGCATTCTGTATATATTATCATATGCAGGAAAAGTACGAAGAAGCATGTGCCACTGTGGCTGAGATGGAGAAGAGAGCAGTCATGGCCGAGTCCATGCTGGAGGCCACCTTGCAGTACCAGTCGGGACAAACTAAAGCTCACCATTCTCCTCGGTAAAATTGCAACTTTTTTAAATATAATTACTATTGACAAAAAAAAATTAACGTTAATTACAGAAAGTACCTTTGTGGTTTTGCTATTTACCGGCCATCTTCCGGAAAATTACAACACCTCTTAAAAGAACATTGTTTTGGCCTTTTCTTTTGATTAATTTAGTCAAAATATGAAGGGTAGTTTTGTTTTTCGTGATCTATAATTCTGTATGTACTGCACCGTATTTCTTTATTCTGTTGAAAACGAGGCATCCTCAGCATTTATGGTTAACTTTTTATATGCAGGTCTACCCACCAAAGTAATCAAGAAGACCCTTCACTAGAAATGCCGACAAGAAAGATTAGCCTACTCTCGAGACCATTTGGATTAGGGTGGCGTGACAGGAACAAGGTTAGTTAATGGATGTTTCGAACGAACAATCACAAAAGATCCAACTGTACTGTCAAGTATGGGACCTTTTTCTAATAATGCGTTTGTCTGCTATAATTAGGTAAAATTTATCCTTATGTTTACTTATGTTGAGCGCTCAACTTTGTTATTAATGAACTAATATGGCATAGGGAGTGTTTTTTTCCGTGCCGCCACGACCTAAATTTGACTCTCCTTCATTTAACCATAATTGAGAAGCAATATATTCTTTGACTAAACCAATTTTTGGTTTAGTTTTCGCAAGTCACTTTTTTACTCCCCGTAAGACTTCAAATTTTGTTTCTTTATATGTTTGGATATATGTAATGCAGCAGCGACCGACTAATGTTTGATGCTGTATAGGGGAAGCCCGAGGAGTCGAATGATGGAAAACAGGCGAAGGATGGAGGAAGTTTAAGTTTGAAGCAAGAAGAAGCCAATGGCCATCAGGTGGAGTAGAAGATATTTACTATTACAGAGGGAAAAGGACTCAAGTTTTTGGTTTCTTTTATGGAGCTATTAAGAGAATAGAATTTATAATGGCTGTTTGTTTTATTTATTCATTAACAATAATAACTGTAGAGAATAGAATTTATAATACCGTGTTATATAGTTCTTACACTACATCTTTCCTGCCAATATATGGTAATTGTTGAATACATATTACTGACGTATAATATTGTGCAGGAAAATTGTTGTGTTAGAAATCATTTTTTTCTATAGAGACATGAAGTTAACATGATTAAAACGCATTTTATGAGCTTTTTTTTCCCCAAGATAAGTCAGCTGATGAGGGTTGGGAATTTCAACATATATTAATAAAATAAATATTGATGTTATTAAGGATTGTTTAGAAGAATTTGTTCAATAAAATATGATATTTTTACTACTCTTCAAATTAATAATATATAAAAAATGGATAAAAATTATATTTGGAGATGCGGGGAGTCGAACCCCGTATTTCTTAGAATCCTTTCTGAAATATAACTATTGAGTTACATCTCCTTTTTGTTCAAACAATCATTTGTATATGTATAAATTAATTTAATGCAAATATAAACGCACACATATCCAAAAAAACATAAAAAATATTTTTTTTTTAATACAAAAATAAGAATATACTTTTTGCAACTAACAAAATATGGCTTTGAATTTGTTGGTGAACTTTAAATCTTTATTAAGTTATAACTTTATTTGAATTTGTACTGACAAACGAATTATAAGCCGATAAAAATTGCACATGCAAAAATATAGGAAAAAATTCAAATTGAAAATATTTTGTCATGTACAGATTCGATACACATATATCATGAAAGAAGTTGTAATATTTTTTCAATTATTTGGAGCTCCTTACTAATCATATCACCTTGTAATATGTATATGTCAAATTAATCAATATATTAAATAAACATTCATTGTATTAGGGATTGTTTAGAAGATTTTTGTTCAATAAAATATAATATTTTAAACCAAGATGACTCTCTTCAAATTAAAAATAAATAAGTAAATGGATAAAAATTATATTTGGAGATGCGGGGATTCAAACCAAGTATTTCTTAGAAACCTTTAAGATATATAACTATTGAGGTACATCTACTTTTTGTTAAAATCATCATTTGTATTGTACAAACTAATTCAATGCAAATATTAAAGCACACATATCCAAACAGAAAAATGTAAAAAAATAATTTTTGTTCATACAAAAATAAGAATACATTGTTTGCAAGTCACAAGAGATGGCTTTGAATTTGTTGATGAACTTTAAATCTTTATACAAAAATAAGAATATATTGTTTCAAATTAAAAATATTTTTCCATGTACGGATTCGATACACATATATCATGAAAGAAGTTATAATAATTTTTCAATTATCTAGAACTCCTTACTAATCATTTCACAATGTAATATGTATATGTCAAACTAATTAATCAATATAATAAATAAACATACATAGTATTAAGGATTGTTTAGAAGAATTCATTCAATAAAATATGATATTTTTAGCAAGATGATTCCCTCAAATTAATAATAAATAAATTAATGGATTAAAATTATATTTGAAGATACGGGGAATCAAACCCCGTATTTCTTAGAATGAATTATGAAATATTACCATTGAGCTACATCACTTTTTTTTCTTAAAACATCATTTGTATATGTATAAAATAATTCAATGCATATATAGAAACACACATATCCAAGCAGATAAATGAAAAAAAAAAAATCATACAAAAAGAAGAATATACTTTTTGCAACTGAAGATGACTTTGAATTTGTTGGTGAACTTTAAATATGTATTATGTTATAATTTTCTTTGAATTTGTACTGACAAATAAATTATAAGCCGATAAAAATTGCATGTACATAAAATAAGAAAAGTTTCAAATATAAAAATACTTTTCCATGTATGGATGGATACACATATATCATGAAAGAAGTTATAATATTTATTCAATTACGTATAGCTCTTTATTAATCATATCACCTTGTAATATGTATATGACGAACTAATCATTATATTAAAAAATTATTCATGGTATTAAGGATTGTTTAGAAAAAATTGTACAATAAAATATGACATTTTTAGCAAGACGACTTCCTTCAAATTAAAATTAAATAAATAAATGGATAAAAATTATATTTGGAGATGCGGGGAATCGAACCCCATACTTTTTAGAATGAATTATGAAATATAATCATTGCGCATCATCTCATTTTTGTTCAAACTATTATTTGTATATGTATAAAATAATTTAATGCAATTATAAAAACACACATATCCAAGCAGATAAATGTAAGAAAAAATATATTTTTTTTTCACACAAAAATAAAATATACCTTTTGCAACTAACAAAAGATGGCTTTGAATTTATTGGTGAACTTTAAATCTTTATTAAGTTATAATTTTCTTTGAATTTGTACTGACAAATGACAAATAAAATATATGACGATAAAAATTGCATGTACAAAAAAATAAGAAAAAAATCATTTGTCATGTACGGATTCGATACATATATAACATGAAAGAAGTTATAATAATTTTTCAATTACCTAGAGCTCCTTACTAATCATATCACCTTGTAATATGAATATGTCAAACTAATCAATATATTAAATAAACATTCATTGTATTAAGAATTGTTTGGAAGAATTTTTGTTCAATACAATGTAATATTTTTAGCCAAGATTACTCTCTTCAAATTTAAAATAAATAAGTAATAGGATAAAAATTATATTTGGAGTTGCGGGTATTCAAACCCCGTATTTCGTAGAATCCTTTAAGATATATAACCATTGAGCTACATCTCTTTTTTGTTTAAACCATCATGTGTATATCTATAAACTAAATCAATGCAAATATAAAGCACACATATCCTAAAAGAAAAAATGTTAAAAGATTTTTTTTTTTTATATGCAAAAATTCCTCCGAGGAGGCCGTCAATTTTACGGTCAAAGTTTTTGGGTCTAGAGAGAAAGTTGGTCAAAATCCGATCATCTTCTTTATTTTCATGTTGATTTCCAGCGAACTACTTCGAATCGAGAACACCATCGAAACCTCCTCGTTGAGGCACATCATTGGATGGTCATCTTTGCCGGAGCCGACGTTTTATTTTTCCCGACAGATATTTCCGGCGAGTGGCAGTTTTTACCGCAGCCCCGCACACCTGATGGAGGTCTGCGCCTGGACCAACGAGGAGGTCCCGCGTGCGAGTATGATTCAGGGAGAGTGAAGCTCGACACCGCGGCCCAGCGTTCGCGGTCCAGTTGCAAGGAACCCCCGTCCATTGTCCAGTGTAGAGGCCCAATCGCGCGATGCCCAAGAGGAAAGCAGGAAGAATCGCGCGGGCCTGACTCCGCCCACGAAGCCCGAACTCCTTCATGCGTCTGCCATCGCCCAGCCCAGTTCCCCTGCAGCTCATTTGATAGTTTTCGACGGCCCAATTGCGATTTTCAATTGCCCAATGCCCCGAAAGTGGCCCAAAAGGAGTCCAAACCCTTCCAATGCAGCCCAGTGAGCAAAAACAGTCCCGGTTTGAACCCAAGAATAATTCGGGACGATTCGATGCGGACGTAGAGGTAAATTTGAGATAATATTTCTCGTGTCGATGGTATGTGGCTTACTTAAATTGGTGAAAATGGGACAAATTATTGGATTTAAATTGGAAAATTTGGAGACTTGAGGATGTTTAAATTGGTGAAAATTGGAGATATTATTGGATTTGATCGTGGATTTATTTGGTTTGTTCGTGGTAATATTTGATTTGATCATGGAGCAATTTGATTTGCTCGTGCAGATATTGTTTGACTTATTTGTGGAGATATTATTTGATTTATTCATGGAAATATTTGGTTTATTCGTTGCATTTGGAGAGACGAGCAATATTTGACAATACCCTTATTGAGCAAGTTTGTTAGGGAATAATGTGGGTCGTGATTTCGAGTTGAGGATATTTTTGTGACTGTGTTTATTGTGTGTTTGGTGCATTTATCAATTTTCCATCGGTGGACTCGAGGACATGGATTAAATTGCATAATTGGATATCTTGATATAATTGGACCTCTCATATGGATTTTTATGTGAAAATGTGGAATATTTTTTGAATTGATTATTCATAATTTTACCTGAGCATGTCTTAAATCGAAAAGATAAGGATGTTTGTATTTAGTCTCTTGTGTTTCTTGCGTGGAGCTTGGTGTTGGGAGTAATTTATTGTAATTCCGTTTAGTGCAATTGTTTAAGGGTTGTTCGTATCTGAAGAGTATGGTTTGTTGTAATTGTTTGTTGAATTCATGGTTTCGTGGAGTTCTGGCCGACTTTGTCTTTGAGTGTATGTTTATGTGATTTCATATGTGACAAAGAGAATTACCTGTTGAGGTGTGGTACAAAAGCACGTGGACCAATTTGACTGCTTGGATTTATACATCTCTTATTCTTATTGCCATGGGAATTGCAAATTGGATGATGTGGATAAAATGCGACTAATGGAATTTGTTGAATTCTTGCTGAGGAAAATACATGAGCAGGTAGTCTTGATATTTCATACACTTCATGGCTGCGGTTGGGAGAAGACAACAAGGAGTAGATGACAACGCAAGTCGTTATGTACAAACATGAAAGGGAGGTCGACAAATACGCTTGATTTGTTTTTTTTTTCTTTATCTTGTTCGGTATAATTATGAATCTGGTGACACTAACGAAAATGACAGACTATTATTATATATTATATGTGCTTGGTGTGTTTCTCTTTGACCTCAGTGGCAGGTCTAAGTGTTGGAGTTGTTTTGAAGAAAAAAATCCACTTGTTTTTGGTACGCCCTCAGAGGTGGGCAAGTGGTCACTTGTTTCGAATATTCCTTGGGTGGGTAAGTTGTCAAAACAAGTCCACACCTCCGGTTTGGACGGCTACTTGCTTCGCGCATTCCTTGGGGTGGACAAGTATTCAAGGACAAATCCACT